CCCATGTGTGTTTGAATGGGTGCGATATCCTACGCAGGAGTGGAAGCTGCCTTACTGCACATTCGGTTGCCGTCAATGGATGGCAATCGATGTCCGTCGGTGATTGGCACTAGATTGCGGAACAGAGACCGACGTTAAATAAAGGAATGAAGAAGAAGAAGAAGAAGAAGAAGCCATGTTTTTGATGCTATCATCTGCTCTTGTCTTTCTGCTTGTAACACGATTTTTCCGTCCCTTTAACATTTATTTAAATTCAACAGTTTCATATATGAAAACTACAGTTGTCCCACAGCTGTCTACAGCAGCAGTCGATTTTTTATTTCGTTGTGAACCACACGATAGCCTGTTTTCGAGACTCGCTATTATATAGTTGCTCTTTGTTCGTTGCTAGCAGTTCGGTGCCTTTTGTTGCTACGGTGCAAGATGTGTGAAGTAAAAAACACCATCAAGTTTAGCTTCAGCCATTGTGATGCCAAACCAAACATCGGAAAGATAGTAAATTTCGCCAAAGCACTCGACGCGGATCCGGCTGAAATGGAAGCTGTTTATCGCATTGGTGAGGAAAGGGGAGTCTTCATGAAGTTCAAATCAGAGGAAGCTCAATTTTTTTTTTCTGTTCGGGACATAAAACTACTGCGACCAGTAATTTGATCTATTGTAGTATATCCCGTGTCCTTAGTTTAGTGCATGTCGTATTACTTCATCACTATTGAAAAATGATGAAGTATTCGGTTTTGATATAGTTGTCATTCTTGCCTTCATCGCAAGGAATCGATTCTAATTGATAGGTTCCGCTATTTATACCCTTCGGAGTGTTGGAACACCCTCCAAAGGCGCGCCCCTTTGTCAGTCAAAATTGGATTCCTTAGCAACAAAATTAAGGAACGACACCGATAGTGACCATGCATCAGAACCCTAGTCTTAACCACTTCAAACTAGGGAACACCAAATAGAAGATTAGGAATCACATAGATGAAGACTAACTAACTCATTTTTTCCTTGTTTCAAGATCATCCTCGGTCCAGGCAACCCGAGGACTTATCACTATCAACAAGGCATAAAAAGTAACAAGGACTAAGATGTGTTCCTTTGATTACTGAAAAATCCTGTTCCCCTAGTTTGAAGTAGTCAAGACTAGGAATCGGTGGTAGATCTTACATCCCGTAACGTACCACGAAAAGGTGATCTACCCACGTTACGGGGCAAGCGATGCTCCATACTCTGACATTCAATTCGGAGGATTTAATCTTCCATTATGCGAATGGAACGACGGCAAAGGTACGCATGTCGCATGCTGGTGAATTCATTCAATATGTGCGTGTGTATGACTTGCCACCAGAGGTACCCGACAACGAGCTGGATAAAGTGCTGGGGAAATATGGGAAAATTAAACGCATCATCCGGGAGAAATTTCCAACTGATCTGTGTTTTGAGCAGTGGCGACGCCCTAACCTCAATCTACCTGTTCAACAAGTCTCAAAACGTAAACAAACAAAACAATATTGGTTCCATTGGATACAAATCAGTGAAACTAGAAGACCCTATGCCTTTTGAAACTGATTTGAATGTAAACATGACCCTAAATAACGTTTTCAGAGTTGTTGAACAGGTAAAAAGTGAGGTTACGCGACGCCACTGGTTTTGAGGTATATACAGGGATACGCGGTGTATATATGGATGTGAAGAAGGAAATCCCCACGTCATTACATTTCTTCAATCGCAAAGGAAATATTTTTTATGATGGCAACAAAGACAAATGTTTTCTGTGCAAGGCGGACGGACACCGGAAGCTTTCCTGTCCCAAGCGGAAGGCTCGGAAGGAACCGGAGAAGCAACTGAAGGAAAAAGGAAAGCAAAGTGAAAGAAAACAAAACAGCAGCAGTACGTATGCTGGTGTAGTGGTGGAAGGTGCGTCGTTTGTCATTAGCGATCAGGAAACGGACACGTGGTTGGAGATGTTGAATGAAGATAACGAAATGGACGTGACTACCCCGACGACCGACGAGAGTAGCGGAGAGCATGCAACGGAAAACGATGTTCAGAAACAGCAGCAATGATCACGATTTGGGTTCAATGAAAATGAGGAACAAATTCGGGAAAGAAAGAAGTTTCGTGCACGGGAGAAGATCGCTTTGTCGCCGCTTCGATCGCCACCCAGAAAAATCATATGATAAAATATATTTGTATATATTTTTTTTTGTATTTTGAGTACCATAATTGGTATTCTATGTTACTCGGCTCCGCTAAGTTATTTTTATAACATTTGAGCCTGCCAAATAAACGAAAAGAAAAAAAAAATATGAAAACTATTCAATCGATTACTTGGCCATTTTCTGTGTGTTTGTGTGTTGTTTAGTTACGACAAATAGTGGAAACTATTGGGTTATACTCACAGATCACAGGGAAATTAGGGTAAAACGGAAATTTTCCGTGCTCTGCCGTCTACGAGACCTAGCGCAATCGATTTCCTGGACATTTTTGCATAAGAAAAGTGCTCTTCTATTGGTTGATGCCGTTTACGTTTCGAGAAAATCAATTAAGGTAACAATTGCCGAATTTCTCCCACTGTGAACGGTCTGCCATCAAACATTGCTACCAAAACGTACGAATAAATATGATGATGATGATGGTCCCACCTCTTACCCCTACAAAGGTTTGAGCTGGACGATTTATCTTTAAGATAATTAAATATAAACATTTTAACCAGGTTAGCAAACAAAAACGAGCTGGTTACAGTTACAGATATAAATTCCCTCTAGACTTTACAGTTGCTTCACAGCAATATACATAAATGTGAAAAAGCTTAGGCGTCCACCTCTTAGTTCGCCTTTTTGTCCACCTAGAATATTCATAAGTATTACAAGCAATCAAGAGTTAATGAACAATCAACAAAGCATCCTATACACTAGCAACCCCGCAATGATGCTATTATAATTTTCAGCAATGTCAGGAATGCTCACGAACCCCCGACATTCAGCCAGAAAACTTAATACTAACTCAAAGTATCTTCCAAATAAGCTTCAAAGTTGCATTTTTTTTTATCAAATGTTAAATTCAGTCCTCTATATCCGTAATACGCGCGCGAGGCTCAAACCTTTGTAGACTACTACTTTTTTTTTTTTTTTAACTACTACTTTAATTCAAATATAAAAAAAAAATCCATCATCACCATCGTGGCGAACAAAATAGTTTTTGCAGTGCTACAATAATTATTAAAAAGTCGTTATGACAGCTATCCATACAAAATAATCCGTTATAAATAACTTCGTCAAGATACATACTTCGTCCATTCATAAAAAAAAAAAAAAAAATCACTGGATAACTGTTCAAAAGACAGTTTTAACGTGTGAAATACAATGTCTCTTGAATTCTGCTAATGTTGTTGCACGTTTAATATGTCTAGGCATCGAATTGAAAACATTTACTCCTTTAAAATACAATGAATTCTGTGAAGCGCAAGTCAAGAAATGTGGTGTTCTTATTTCATCCGCGTTTCTAGTATTATATCTATGAAAATCACTTCCTCTTTCAATTCGATCACACAAATATCGAGGCAGCAAACCATTTACTACTTTAAAAATGAACACCATAGTCAAATAAACTATTCTTTGCTTCACTGACAGCCATTTTAAAGCGTCCAGCATCAAAGTTGAGGAAGTGAATCTATTACATCGCAAAATCAAACGCATTATTTTATTCTGCAAACGCTGTAATCTCGATATTTGTGTTTCATTGGCTAGAAATAAAATGGATGGGCAAAAGTCTAGATGAGGAGAGATGATTGATTTGTATAGCTGTATTTTACTGGCAATAGTTAAATCGTTTTTCAGTCGACATAGAATTCCATACTTCTTGGCAATTTTCTTGATGACATTGTCAATGTGAGAGTTGAACTTAAGTTTGTCATCAATAATCACGCCAAGATATTTAATCTCCCGAACGCGATCAATAGCCTCATCATCAATTACCAGGGAGACATTATCATTTACTCGGTTCCGCGAAATTACCATGAATTTAGTTTTACTTGTATTTAATTTCAACTGCTTACACTTCAACCATCTACTTAGAGAACGCAAATCTTCATTCAAATGTGAGACGGCAACTTCTAAATCCTTAGCTGCAATGAATAACACAGTATCATCTGCAAAAAGATTAATGTCGCAAAATCGTAAAACGCGTCGCAAATCATTAATATACATAATAAATAAAATGCTAATGCTAATAAACAATATAGCATGTCGAGACCGTAGTTAATCAAATTGCACGATTGGAAAGCATAGCTTCCATTCGAACCACAACGTAGACTTTAAATAGGGGCAGTTGGCGAGGTAACCCCCATCAGTAAGCATGGTACTCCAATACCTGTTGGCCCTTGCAGCTATCATAAGCTCATTTCAAACCAATGGGTCTATTGTAGACATCGGAACGGGCCCGTTGGATTGTGTCCGTATCCGGAGTGCATCCATGCGGAAGCTCGTCTACGGAACGGGCTACATTTATCAAGGGAGAGGACGCTACATGGGAATATACGACCATTTAACGGTGCCCCACAATTCGGCTTACCGGATTGAACGCATCCCAGAGTATAGCGAACCGTTGTACTACATCAGGATGATTAACACTCGAGAGTACCTGTACGGTGGGGATCCTTCCACATCAACGCACGTGAATCGGGTTCCAGTGTTCTCATACACTTACAAAAAGAACACAACGCTCTCGGATGTAGGAGTGTGGCTGTTCGAGAAAGCGTACCAAGAAAAAGTTTGGCTTGGCGGGTGGTTCATCAAGAATGTATACTTCAACAATTACATGATCGCATCACCTTCGAACTCCCAGCCGCCGCCGGAGGCCCAGGGTGCAACTTTCAAAACGCTCAAGCTTGATAGAAAGTATCAACCGCGGTCCAAAGATGATCAAATGTTCTTCTTCGAAGAATGTTAGGATTGACTTATACCTATATGAGTAGACTATAATAAATCTCAGTTAATTGCAAAACTCACCTGTTTGGTGCAAATTTACCCATCGGAGCAGCGTGCACCACAAACACAACGCGACTGGCAAATTTTTCATCATTCGGCGTCAGCTCCAGCACCGGTTTCCGGAAGTCCCCTTTTAGCGGAACAAAGCGCATCCCACTGGCCAAAGAATACTTTGACTGTTTGCCCAATGCTTCTGCCAGATGGCACAGGAAATGTGCCCTCTTCACATGATACCGCAAGTTGAGGTAATCTTCTTTCCGGAAACACTTGTCCGGAATCTCCAGCAGCAAATCTACTTTCAGTGGCTTGCCATAGGATGTTCCTAAGCGACTCGATCCAATCTGATGCACGATCCGTTGCTGAACGAATTTAAAGCTTTCCTTGGTGAGAACTTGCGAGCCGTCGGGAAATGCCAGTGGAAATTCAACCCCTTCATAATCCACATCCTTCAGAGATCGTTCATTGTCCGCATCTTTTACCGTCCTCAAAAACTTCCGGAAATCGCCCAACCAACGCTCAATATAATTTAACACCTTGAATTTCACCTTCACCTCCGTGAGCATCTCTTCCACCTGCAGCCGGAACAGATTCGAGTGGTAGAAATTTTCCGTTTCCTTCAGCCGATTGATTTCCTCTACCGTCGGTGCTTTATACAGCTGCTTCATGGCTTTGATCTTCCGTTGGTGTTCCTCGTCGTGTTCGTCGCTCGGAATGGCTTTACGCTTAGCGCCTTTCGATTCCGAAGATCCGACAGCCGGGGCTCGCACAAAGCGTCCACCACTTTCTTGACCGCTGTCACTTTCTGGCTCCGGCCGCCCACAATCGTCGTCATTTGAGTCCTCATCCGTCCCGTTCTCGATCATTGAATCGTTATCATCCTCCTGTGCTACTTTGGCCGAGGCTTTCGATATTTTCTGCTTCTACAAATCAGTCAAACTATTAAAGCACACAAATTTTACAGAATTATTAAACTACTTACTATTGAGGATATTTTTTTCATTTTTTATCAGTCAAAATAACGAATATTTCTAAATTGTTAAATTATTACAAGTTATTTCCTAGCAAAACGTGAGAAACATGACCGTGCTGAGCTATGATCGTCTTTCGCACATTGTTTTTGTTTTGGTGGCGAGGTTAGGTCAAAAGTGGCACTGTGAACAACCCCAATGAAAAATAAAAGGAAGAGGAAAAAATTTCAGCTTAGTAGACACTGAAATATTCCGGAGAACACAGTGTTCGGTGAACACCCATTAATGGGTAAAAATAACAATTTTTGTTACAAGTACCCCTCCTCATTCAATTGGTAAATTTTGTTTATTTCATTAATAGGTAAATGCGGTAAATACAAACAGACCTGATCCGAAAATGCCCATTTTTACCACTCCGGTGGCACAAAAGTTAGCCAAGAACACTTTGCTTGAAGTTGGCTTGAAACCGATTTTTTGGTTCTTTGATTCGATTATACGTCTGTTATGGACAGCTGATGTAAAAATTACGAGTTTCAGCTCCGTTTATGCGGTTGTTTGTACGGCCATGGTAACTTTGTGGTATTGATGAAAATTTATCAAGTGAATAGTATTTTCAATTATTCTCTAGGTGTTTTTCAGTTGGGTTTCTATCGCTCTATGAAATTATAAGAAAGAAGTGCATGAAAGTGAATTCACGGTGGCTTCAAGAATCAATGACCGTCCTATCGGTTTGTCATACTCGGATGGATGAAACCAGCCCAGTGGCAGGCGCGTAGGCAACATGTTATACGGTGACAGTGGGCCCAGCACAGCTAAATAAACGGTTTGGGCCCGGGACATGGTGCCTACTGTCAAACGCTGCTGTTGGTATAGGCACAAACGAAGTGACAGACGACTTTCTCCGAAGAAATTAATTAAAATAATGTGGTTCTTGAATTGATTCAAGTTGGTTGTGTGTGCAATGATCTGGCAACTCGCGTTCTCGCTCGCGTTGACGGGGTGCTGTTTTCTACGAGGTTTTCTCACTCATCGAAGGAAATTTGGATAAGAGTGAGAAAGTAAGAAACAGTCAGCGTGGGAACCGTGTGCGTTACTATATGTGGAGCAGAAGGAATGTAGTCGACTCTTTTGTTCTCACGGTGTTCTTACGCATGATCCAACGTTTCGTCACACTAGATTATGCATAAGAACGTCGTGATAATGAAAGTGCTGACTTGTTTCCTTCTGCCTCACCAATCACATTGATCCCAGCACCTGCGATTCTCCGTCGGTTCCTGGTGCATTCTTTGTGCCATGCACCAGTCCAAACACTAGAAGTTTTGGAAGGTTCTCCCTCAGCACCTGCAAGCAGCGTGATACCAGCTGACATTTTCTCACTTTTGAGCATCAACGTCAACCCGGTTCCGAATCGCATTACCGCTTGAGGTGGCACCGTTGGCAGTAATATACTGCGCCGTGGGAAAGACCTGCTTAGTGCACTAGTGCTTGAAAATTCACCGTCTAAGGAAGGTCGTCATTAAAATTAAATCAACTTACTTTTCTTCGCTGTAACGTACTCCGGATCAGACTCGCTGGTAAACCGTTTTCGTGGGACGGTTTTTGACCCGAGAAGCTTCAGTTTGAACTGCTTTGCAGGCGCTGGGCATGCGTCTTGGAACGCATGATCTCCTGTCCCACCGAGGCATCCGTTAGCGTGTCCGTGTCGGAACGGATGACCTCTTTGATCGACTTCAATCAAATATATTATATTAACAATATGATCCACTCTTTCACTTAAACGCTGTACAGACTGGAGAGTTATAACATGTTATAACGGTTGTCAAATAATTGCAACACAGAAACCACCATCAAGATAGCGCTATAACATGTTATAACCAACAATCAATACGAAACTAACGATTTTAAATTGGCTCACCACTTTAGTAGCCTATTGGTCCCAAGCAAACGATTAACGTACCCTATTCTAGTTGAAATTCTATTACTACACTATGTTTGTTTTGATTCGCTATGAAAGTTTGACAGATAACATCAGGGGTGTGTGGATTTATGCAGAACATGCAGGGGTGAGTGAAATAGCTTGGGACTGCTTGGGACCGTTGTTCTGGTACTGAGTGAGCCAAAAATAATAATGATTTTCTTCGGGACCCAGTGGTCTTAGAGTTACCTCTATGTTATAACTCTGTAGTCTGAACGTACTATTACCTGGCGAACCGAATTTTTAGCGATGAAAGCACCTCTGTGGCCAAAAAGGCTACCAATGTATTTGTTTATCGTCACGAGGGGTAAATCAAATAAAAATTTGTTTAATATTTCAAATGAATGTATTTAAACATTTTATTTTACTTGATGACAACAGTGATATGTCAGACAAATTTTAAAGTAATATACACAATGTAATTAATGAAAATAATTTGACTCTTAATTTTGTAATAAGAGCTATTTTCACACCCCTGGATTGTAATGGAATGCTTGTTGCTGACCTTTTTCAACGCACCATCTACGTGAAGCAATATTTTGCGGGTCACCATTGCAGCATTTGGAAAAAGGCATGAGTGGATCATATTGTTAATATGATATATTTGCTGCAATTCTACCATCGATTTTCGGCGCTGCTTTTTGTTTAACTTCACACGATAGTTGAAATCGAACACGGTCGACGATCCGGCGGAGGATGCTTCGTCTTCATTCTCCGAAGAAGTCAACGATTTGATCTTTTCCGAGCTGAGCTTCTCGAGCCTTACGACCGGTTTGGCTCTGTTATATTATTAATCAAGAAGTTGTTATTTCTTATGTATCACCTTGTTTACATTGATCTTGCTTTCCCCGATTGTATAACAACCTTGTACCCAGAGAGTAAAAGAACGGACAGTCCAATAAAGCTCATAGAACTAACTAGACGTGCGTTTCCTTGTTCTCTGATACGAAAGTAAAACATGGTGTCAGAAGTTCTCGCGGTTTAAATTCGTAAAAAAGTTTCAGATCGTGAAATCGTTTAAGTTGACCGGGGAACAAATCGATTTACGTGGAGGCCGACCGGTGAAGACCGAAAGCGAATAGAACTTTCCCTCTCGCGGCGCGTTACGAGTGTACGCGGAAGCCCCACGACGTCATTTTGTTTTTTGTTGGTTCACCCATTCAGAAAAAAGTGAGGTTATCCAAGCAAAATGGATCAAATAGCAATGCTGTTGGAAAACCAGAACAAGCTATTCGGCGAGCTTGTGAAGCAGATGAGGGATCAGCGAGTGCAGCCCGGTGAGGAAGTTGCCGCAGTAGCACTATCACCCAACGTTCCGCTTCCTCCACCTCTTGCCATTGACGGGGACATGGAGGAGAATTTTTGTTTTTTCGAAAGCAACTGGCGAAATTATGCGACAGCGATTGGGATGAACAACTGGCCCGACGCAGACAATCCCAAGAAAGTGAGTTTCCTATTATCGATTGTTGGAACTCCTGCGCTAAAAAAGTATTTCAATTTTGAACTCACTGCGGAGGATAAACGAACTTCGGACACCGTTCTCGAAGCCATCAAGAGAAAAGTGGTGTGTACCCGAAACGTCATCGTTGATCGGTTAGAATTTTTCACCTCCGCACAGCTGTCGACGGAGAGCATTGACGACTTTGTGTCTCGTCTGAAGGTGTTGGCAAAACCATGCCGGTTCGGTGTGTTGGAGACGGAAATGCTAACCTTCAAGATCGTGACATCGAGCAAGTGGCCGCACCTCAAGACAAAAATGCTTACGATGACTGACATCACGACGACGAAGGCAGTGGATTTATGCAGAATGGAGGAAATTACGGCGAAGCACTCACAGGCACTGTCGTTGGAGCCACGAGTGGAAGTAAACATGCTCAAGGTATCTAAGTCACGCAAGTGTAAATTTTGTGGTGACTGGCACGTTTTCAAGAAGGGATCCTGTCCAGCTTACGGCAAGAGATGCAAGAAGTGCAGTGGAAAGAACCACTTCGAACGAGTGTGCCGTGCTGGGAAGGAAAAATCATCGAGACGAAGCTCACGAAGGATCAAGGAAGTAAAGAACGCTGGATGGAGTACGGATGAAGACAGTTCGAACGATGGATGCAGTGAGCGGTCAGAGGAGTCGGAGATCGAAGGTGAAATTGGAAAAATTTTCGACAACTCCAAGCAAGGCGGAAATGTGCAAGCGGAGATTCAGCTGAAGGTCGACGATAAGTGGATGAAGATCAAGTGCGAACTCGATACAGGAGCTAATACCAGTCTCATTGGTCACGACTGGTTGTGCAAGCTTTCAGGCAACCCCAACCCCAAGCTTCTTCCATCGCCTTTCAAACTCCAAGCTTTTGGTGGAAGTACCATTCCCGTACTAGGACAGGTGAAAATACTCTGCAAGCACAAGGAGAAAAAGTATCGACTGGTCCTACAGGTAGTTGGAGTAGATCATAGACCACTTTTGTCGTTGAAGGTATGCACTACGCTGGGACTGGTGAAGTTTTGCAACACGGTTGCTGTAGTTCCCGCCCAACCGCTGCAGTCGGAAACCGAACAAGACATGCTGAAAGTGTACCGTATTAGGGCTGAGGAGATCGTCGAGCGAAACAGCGACATTTTCAACGGCTACGGGAAAATGCCTGGCAAGGTCAGCTTGGAAATCGATACCAACGTTTCACCCGTGATCCAGCAACCCCGGCGTGTGCCTATAGCACTTCGAGCCCCTTTGAAGGTGGAGCTGGACAACCTCGAGAAAGATAACATCATAACCAGGGAGTACAACCACACCGAATGGGTGAGTAATTTATTACTTGTTAAACGTGGACCAAAAGGCTCTGAGTCTCTTCGAATCTGCTTGGATCCAATTCCACTGAATAAGGCTTTGAAGCGCCCGAACCTTCAGTTTGTGACGCTGGACGAGATTTTGCCGGAGTTGGACCAGGCGCAAGTATTTTCTACTGTCGACGCTCGGAAGGGATTTTGGCACGTGGAGTTGGACGAACGCAGTAGTAAATTGACGTCATTCTGGACCCCATTCGGACGGTATCGGTGGCTGAGGTTGCCCTTTGGCATTTCTTCGGC